AGTTTCTTCAAAATTTACTGTTCTAAGCCCATTAGAGTTCCAGCGCAGCAAGACTCTTCAGTGAAAATCTCACATGCCTATATTTTCTTTAGGAGAGTGTATGCAAATGTTGTGAGCTGAACTCCTACCCTTTAGTGGTAGATGCTTTATCATCTGATTTATGTAAATTTGCTCATAAAAATACAGTTTATTTTTAATTGGTGAATCTGAATTAGAGAATTAAGATTCTGGTTCAGCGTTCATCAAACGTCCCCAGTTACAAGCACACATTTATTTAGACCTCTGATCACACGGGTAGAAATCATGTAATTGACCAGCCAATAAGAGCTGTATTGTAAAGAAAACCGTGGTTTCTGCTAAAATGACCAAGGTGTATTCGTTATTCAGCCTTCTGAGCTGGAGCCTCCCTCATAACCTTGTGCTGGGCATGTTCTTGTCAGTATTATGAGCTACTTAAACTTCCTGCTTGAAGGTGCATTATCTTTGGACTTGACCCCAGGAAGCTCTTCGGTCTGTTGCATTTTTGCCTTGGCTGCCACATGTTTTCCAGAGAGCATTTCAGAACAGGAGAGTGCATTAATGGTTGTTTCTCCTGTAAACATAAAGGAGAAAGGGACACTAGAGAGGGCAACCGGATTCTTAGAGGCTGTCATTACCTTGCCTAACCAAACAAAAATAGAACCCTCCTCCTTATCATAAAAAATATGCCCATGAAATCATGCAGTTGCAGTAGCCAGCTCTAAAAATGAAGTGAGGCTGACCTCATTGTGTTAGTTCCACGCTGGGATCATGAATGGTCTAAAATATAGTGTTAGCCTCTAACATATCTTGTACTAAGTCAACCAAATGTAGAGCCTACTTGCTAGGATATGTATCAAAATCAAAAGTGACATTTTCTGGAAGATACATTCTGGCTTTAAATCTGTGTTAAAATGTCTGTGCATGAGAACAGGCCCTTAAATGCGACGCTCGCCCCCTCTCTTCATTCTTTCTGAATCTGAGCTTGTCAAGGATTATAGTGTGCAACCTCTGCTGACAGTAGATAAATAACTGACAGTATTTTAGCAGAGTTGCTGGGTTCTCCGCAGAGTAATTTGTTTTCTCCTTTCCACCCAGTCTTTAATGTTTTGTTATAAACATCTATAGCAAGGCACGGTTAATAGCAATGACTTAGAGTGAAAGACCTGTAAAAAATAGATCCAATTGGCAATGCCCTTTTTAAACTATTTTCTTTCTAAACATTATACAAATATTATAACATTGTGCTAGTGCCAACCTCTATGTAAAGGTCTCTTCATTATAATGGGCACGAAAGGCACTGCTGGAGGGACAGAAAAAAATGAGTGTGTAAGACACTGAAGACAGCGCTCTCCAGGCCGTGTTTCTCAAACTCTTTGATCCCAAGACTCATTTTTTTAAGTTACTGATTTTTTTTTGGGGGGGTTGATTTTTCTGTGTGCTCTGTTGGGGAATTGAACTCTCAGCCTTGACCTATCAGGACAGTGCTCCAACTAACTGAGCTACCCGACCAAAGCTCTCTTTCACACTCTTAAAAATTATTGGCGCACCTAAAACCTTTTGCTAATTGGGATTATACCTGTCAGTATTTACTGTATGTTAGAAATTAAAACTAAGGAAAAAGTCTTAAAATCTACATTAAATCATTTGAAAGTAGCAGTGAAGAACCAAATACATGTCAGTGTATTTTTATGACAAATAACTATATTTTACAAAACAAAAAAAATTAGTGATAAGGGCAACATTATTTTACATTTTTGTAAATCTATTATTTCTAAGTAGAAGAGAGTTGGATTTTTATATTTGCTTAAGTATTCAATCTGTTGCAATGTCTTATTTTGGTAGAAGTTTATGAACAAAATTCTGCCTCACAAAGATACAGGTTTGGAAAAGGAAGGAGATTGTAATGACACTTTGGGATCATTGTAGATCTTCTTCTTTGATACCACACTGGAACTTGACAAGTATGAGTTTAAGTTTAGTTGAAAGCTCTCAATGACTTTTTATGCTCATTGCAACAAATGTTTTCCTTGCATGACAGGTTCACATGATTCATATTTGAGCAAATGCCTGCCTAATGCCCAAGCCTGATTAACCATGGTGTGTCTATCCGTTGTTCTTTTAATTGGTGTTTTGAGAAAAAGGCAGGTATTTTCGCTCACAGCTCAAACAGTCACATGAATACTTTCCTCAAGACAGCCCTTATACCTTGGTGTGCAAAGGGGGGGGGTATATGTATTCCCAGTTCTATTACACAGAATGTGCCTCTTGAAGAGATGAAATTTAATAAAATTAGTCACTGTAATGCTTCTTCAAGGACACTCTTATGCGAAACTGACAGGTGGTTAAGAATACAGTGGCTGCTGGTTCAGGTTGGTGCCGTGGCCTGAAACACGCCAAGGCAACGGCAGTCTCACTTGTCAGGGTTTTTTCACCAATGAGACATATGTCCATGCAGTGAAAAAGGCAAATCACATCTTAG